TTTCAGGATCGCAAGAACGGGACAAATCAAGCTTAGAAATGATTTAACACGTGCGAGATGACATTGTCTTTTCTGATTTCTCATATTTCTATCGCCCATATATACTGTACCTAATTCAAATAAGGTTGTCCTTTCACAACCATATATCGCCATATATACTATACAGCTAATTCAAATAAGGTTGTCCTTTCACAACCTTAAACGTTAAACTTTGAGCGCGCCTATTAACCTTAAACACAAAATAATTAAATTGCCTTTCAGCAAGTATGCTTTAAAAAATCTGTCGTGAGTCTTCTATGTCTTGCGGGGTATTATTGCAGTCTAAATAGTCTAAATATGCAAAGAACCATCATCCGTTGAGCGTTAAAGGTCTAACGTTTATGGTTATAGCAGGACAACGTTAATTGAATCAGCTGTAAGTAAATAAGATAGTGTAATTGTTGTAAATCAAACGATTTTCCAAATACAGGTATTACACCGAACACTTTGTTTTAAACTCGTTTATTTACGCCTTTCAGTAACAATGTTTTGTCAACATATTCGTTGCAAGAACCTGCCACGATTTTATGCTGGCGAATTTTAGAAGTTAATTTGGCTGTTTATATTCTTACAACGTTAATTCCAGAGGTTTTTTGGACGTTAAACGAACATTGCAGAAACGTTGAACCAACGTTATGTTCTAACGTTAATTCCGACGTTGTTACCACGTTCCTGCGAGTTCACAAAATAACGTTCCCACAACTAATAACACCACGTTATCTTAACGTTCATACAACGTTTTTCTGAACGTTAACTTAACGTTGCTGGAACGTTGAACCAACGTCATGTTCTAACGTTAATCCCGACGTTGTCTCCACGTTCCTGCGAGTTCACAAAAAAACGTTGCTACAACCTATAAAACCAACGTTGTCCCAACGTTCGGCGAACGTTCGTACAACGTTCGTACAACGTGATTGTGCTAGCTGGGTATAATATATATGATATAGAATCACATATGAGTAAAGTGCAAGTGTAAAATACAATAAACTGTCTTTAGTTCATATGATTTTATTCACTACAAATTTGTTTCGTATAACAATTAAGCAGTGCTTGCCACACTCATCAGGTGAATTTGAATGCCGCGCTATATAGTTGCCATGGTTATAATGGTTATAGGTTATATATATATATATAATATATGTATTATATATATAATATATATATCCTCACCAAATAAAACGTCGAAAAAACATCGCTTAACAGCAAATTACTTTGACAGCATGAAAACAGAAATTACTATGCTGGTTCGCATGCATACAAACGGAATTTCTTACAATAGAAATGAATAATATCCCAGCACATTTCTACGAGGAATACCCCAGGGATATCACCAATATTCCAAGCCGTATTCTACGCTGGAATACTACCGATTATTAGGCATATTCCATACCATATTCCGAGTAGAAATACTAGCTAGCCCGAATATGTGACTTATTCCGGACAATATTCCGGGCAGAATACGTCGGCAACCTCGCAAGCCAGGCTCTTTTACCTACGCTCCACGGCCCACGCTGCGGCAAAGACCCTGGTCAAGGCTGGTCATGTGACCTCCCAAAATATGGGAGGTTTTTAATTAGCGCTTAGTTCATATTCATGGGAGGAGTGGCAAAGTCGATATACCATTTCTGCTATTTTTAGCACTTGTCACAATCCAGATGACTTTGTACTAACGCAACTAAAAATAGCGGTTCACGCAATAAACGAAATAAATAGAGCTAGTGTGGCGCAGCAAAAAACTAAAAAGAGCAATAAACTGAATTTAGATTCAAGTGCTATGTGTAGACTGTATCATCGTCAATAGAATCGGTTTTAGTATCGTCACAAGTTCAGTTGATATTCAATACAGACACTCGAAGGCCTGTCCTATCTTCTAAATTTGGGCGTTGATGAGCGAATTTAGAGGTCAAATAACAATAACGACACAGGTTATTTCGCTTTGCGGAAGAACAGCGCTCAATATTCAGTCCTTAGAAACACGCTGTTTTAACTGATGTGATCTATGCGCTACTTGTGTCCCACCCATCCCCACACGGGAGAAGCGTAACAAAAGAATCACGTGACCAGCCTTGACCAGGGTCTTTGCCGCAGCGTGGGCCGTGGAGCGTAGGTAAAAGAGCCTGGCTTGCGAGGTTGAATACGTCGGAATATTCGCCTTTTCTCGCAGTGCACACACGCCGTGTTGTCCGTTCCATGTTTCCGCAGTAATTAGCCGGTCAACGACTTTCGGTGAAGTTCGTGTTAATCGTGGACTGACGGTGAAGCCAAGGACTTTATTTGGTATAGGAGTTACGTATGTTAATTTTTTTCACGATTCAGTTTGCTAAACATTAGTTTCATCAACTATCATCGCTTGATCAAACGAGAACATGAGTTGCAAGAGAGTTGACAAGCGAGAGTTTACATGAGAGTTTCATCAACTATCATTGCTTGATCAAACGAGAACAAGAGTTGCATGAGACTTGACAAGCGAGAGTTTACATAAGAGTTTCATCAACTATCATTGCTTCATCAAACGAGAACAAGAGTTGCATGAGAGTTGACAAGCGAGAGTTTACATGAGAGTTTCATCAACTATCATTGCTTGATCAAACGAGAACACGAGTTGCATGAGAGTTGACAAGCGAGAGTTTACATGAGAGTTAAATTATTGTTAAAACAGGAAAAACGAATAAATACTAAATATTAGCTATAATTATTATCTTATAAATTACTTGTATCATCCAAAACGTAGTGTTTTGCTTGGCCACGAATTACACGTTGTTGATTCTTTGTCAGACCATTCAAATGTTTGCCATGGCGCAGGTAGTACAGAATTCGCTCGCACTTTTCTTTGTGTTGAAGCATGCGTTTTTCTCTGTTGCTCGGTTCAGGTTCACTCGATAAATTCGTTCCAACGGCAGGCTCTTGCTGTGGAACCATTTTTCTTCTTTAATACCAAGCAATTTAGTAAGATTTTCGAACGCGTGTGAGAATTGTGCTCTGTTTAACAGCCAGCGAGAGAAAGGGGATAACTCAGACCACGAGGAAATGTTGTTATGCAAAACTGCTGACTCACGCATGCGCATAATATGCGCATTGTGATAGAGGATGGCTCAGACCGTGGGAGCAATGAGGCCGCCACACCGGTCGGTAGACAAGGTCTCAAAGCAAGAGTATTTTTAAAAAGATAGCATAGCGTTGACATTGCATTGCTTTTTAATTCAAAGTGGTATTATTATCTAAAAAATTGCTCGCTGAAGCAGTAATGGAAATTCCTTTGCTGCCTTGACAGCGAGAGTTACTATTTACTCGAGTGAGAGTTGCTTGCTATGCGTTTGTTTTGATGCTGTCATGGAAAGCCTTTTATATTTATAGTTATATAAATGTCTTCATTGAGGTGATGCAATACATATATTAAAATTACCCTGTCATCTTTGACCGGTAAGACGTCACAATTGTCATATTGTTATGATATATACACATAATTAGAAATTGGTTCTTTTATATTGTGTGAGATTTATTGTGATATTATCTTTAACCTTTGCGAATGGCAACAAAAAATTATGCGGTAATGTATATAGAATACTTATCGTTAATGGGCTATTCCATTTAAAATGCGTACCCCCCCCCCCCTCCCCCTATCGAGGACACTGGGAATCCTCAGGGATGTGGACTGTGTTCAGCCTGGAAATCCTCAAGGATGTGGACTGTGTTCAGCCTGGAAATCCTCAGATGTGGGTAGTTTCCGGTCTGGAAATCCTCAGGTGTGGGTAGTTTTCAGCCTGGAAATCCTCAGGGATGTGGACTGTGTACTGTGTTCAGCCTGGAAATCCTCAGGGTAAGGATATTATCCACCAGGAATTCCTCAGGGTAAGCATATCAGGCTGGAATTCCTCAGGGTAAGCATATTATCGACCAGGAATTCCTCAGGGTAAGCATATTATCAGGCTGGAATTCCTCAGGGTAAGCATATTATCAGGCTGGAATTCCTATATTATCAACATGGAATTCCTCAGGGCAAGCATATTTTCACACTAGAATTCCTCAGGGTAAGCATATTATCAGCCTGGAATTCCTCGGTGCAGGCATATTATTAGGCTGGAATTCCTCAGGGGCAGAAGTGCTGGAGACCATGTTCTGGATAGGGGGGGTACAGATATTAAATGGAATAGCCCAATCGTAGCGGTATAAATAGTTTTATATGCACGTTGTTATATCAATATATTGTATCTCTAACATAACAACAGTATATATCTTTGTTACATTTTAAATTAATCATTGACTTTAAATAGATTTGGTCAATATTACGTGCAGTTAAAACCATAAAATACATATAATAATTGAGGAAATGTCTATACCTGATTGCTTTCAGACATAAGTTTAGTCTGTGCGTCGCCTTTCATCGCCTTTCAACGCGTTGCGAAACTGTGCCAGGGAAATAGAATCGTATGCGTTCTTATCTGTAACCTCTGGAAAAGCTTTCTTAACCAGTTGAAGTATTGAATACTTAAGTTCAACAGCAGACTCCCCCGGTTTTTGGCGACGGCAAGCCAGTTCCTTTTGCCAATCTGTAACAGTTTTCTTTGATTGAAACCGCTTTATCAATGCTGCTTTTGCATGAACAAAAGTATCTCTTTGACTAGCTGCTAAACGACTAAAGAACACTTTAGCTTCCTCTTTTAATGATAAATGCAAGCACGCGACTTGTTTTGCGTCAGTTTCTATTCCTTTCGCTACGAAATATGATTCAACTTGATCTAGGTGTTTCGCGATGTCGATAAACCATAGATATAGAGACCGAATATTGTAATCGTATTATATTTGAAAACAATCAAACAAGCAATTCGATCTAAAGTTAATAAACAAAATAAAGCTATGTAATATACTATATAAAGATCAATTTACCATGCACATAATAATACCTAATTTACACATACTACGTTTAACAGTAACAAAATAAACATTAACTTACTTCTGTGACAATATCCAGTCTTTCAATACATAAATGTTAGTAAACTTATTTACCCAGGTTAGCAATCGTTAAACAGTCCTTTCTCAGTAAGCGCTCTCTTCCTCTGGTTTGCATGCGGTCCTAACACCTAATCATAGTAATTACTTAAAATGTCAATCAAACTTATCAGTCCTTATTGGCTGTATCTTATTAATTAATAACTAAACTAAACGTGCATATAAACATCGTATATAACGAAACATCCTCCCCGCCCCAAAACGGGATACATTTTCTAATCGTCATCGTTGTAGCCTTCTTCTGGATAGATCACGGCAATCTTGGTCACTGGTCGAACATATTCTCCAACCGCTGTCTTCACTTTTACATTTCTGATACGACCGTCCTGACCAGGATGTACTTCAATAATCCGACCCAGCGTCCACTTTCTTCGTATCGCATTGTCCTCGACGTATGTTATATCATTCACTCGTACGTTTCTTCGTTCAATCTGCCATTTCTTTCTTACCATGAATGATGGGAACACATCACGAGTCCAGCGCTTCCAGAACGAATCGACCAGCTTCTGCACGAATTCATATCTATCACGTGGGTTTCTTGTCGGCTTAAACGGACCTTGAGGTACCACTGACGTAGCGCGGCCAAGCAATATGTCGTTCGGGCATAGGTACGATCCATCGTCAGGGTCATTGGGCGCTCTACCAATGGGTCTTTGGTCTAAGTTAGCAGACTCTAGCAAGTAGGTGCACAGCTCAAACGGCGTCAACGTTTGATCTCCAATAGCTTTCTTCAGGGCTCTCTTACAGTTCTTCACCATGGCTTCTGCGCAACCGTTGTGGTGGGGCGCGTTTGGGGTGATAAATTTCCACTCCATACCTTTCTCTGCGCAGAACTCTTGGAGTTGTTCTTTGCTCCAACCGGCAATCATTTCTCGTAGTTCGCGTTCCGCACCAACAAATTGAGTTCCATTATCGCTCATTATAACGGCTGGCTGTCCTCTGATCGAAAAGAACCTACGAAGAACTTGCAGGAACTCCATTGTTGAACAATCAACTGCCAACTCGAGGTGAACTGCTCTTGTATTTAGGCAAGTAAACACAACACCATAGTGTTTTGTCGTTTTGTTGCGTCCGATCTTTACAATCAACGGTCCAAAGTAGTCGCATGCTGTATGATGGAAAGGCGGCGTATTAGGTGCTAGACGAAGCTGTGGAAGATCCGCCATGTACTGCGTATTAGGTGCTAGACGAAGCTGTGGAAGATCCGCCATGTACATGTACGACTCGACTTTGTGCTCCATCTCTCGGCAGAATACGCAACGGTACTTGACAGACTTGGCGAGATCATGGGCTCTTAGGATCCAGTATTTACGTCGTGTTTTCGCTGTCGTTGTCGCCACTCCATTATGTCTAAACTGGTGCGCGTGACGGGTGATCAACTGCGCGATCCAGTGATCATGAGGTAGCAAAGCTGGGTGCTTACAGTTGTACGACACAACAGCTTCTGAGATGCGCCCTCCAACTCGAATGATTCCATTTTCATCTCGGAATGGACTTAGCGACTTGAACTCTCCTTTGATTAAACGATCATTCAAACTTCCTTGTGCTTCTTTGATCCAAAATAGCTCGGCTTCATGTAGTTCCTTGGCTGTTAGCGGGCTTTCCATGTCCACTATTCGAGTCTTCGTGTGTCATCTGTTTCTCCCCTTCGTTCTTTCACTTTTCGAGCCAATCGTTTTATTCGGGCTGCAACTCTTATCAACCTTCTCCAACTTGAAAACTTCTTGACATTGAATGCTTCCTCGGCTTTCGACAACGTTACGTTGCAAACGATTTCAACTTTCCGGCGCTCCGCGTTCACCTGTGCGAGCTCGTTTTCTGATGTCGGAGCTTCCTGTGGCCATTCTTCTTCCGGCAATTGCATAAACTCTGGGCCATGTTTCCAATCGACCGTTTAGCTCAGAAACTTTGATGCCTCGTGAAACATCATCTTCCACGTTCTCTTCTCCAGCTACGTGTTTCCATTGCGAAGGATCGGTGTTGTTTTGGATTTCTCCAACTCTGGCAGATACAAAAGGCTTGTATCCTCTCGCTTGGCTGCAAATCCACGCTAGTACAATTCTACTATCCGTGAAGTAGAATATCTTCTCAAATTTTAGACGTGATTCTTCGACAATACTCTTCCTTAGACGTGATGCCAAAACAGCAGCTTGTAACTCAAGACGCGGAATTGTCAATTCCTTTAATGGCGCAACTCTTAATTTTGCAGCTACAAATCTTGCCTCATACTTTCCATTGGCGACGCACCATCTTACGTAAGCACAAGCACCGAAAGCTTTTCTTGAAGCATCTGAGAAGACACATAACATTGGTTGTTCTAGTGCGGTTTGAGGAGTTAAACATCGGGGGAATGTCACTTCGTTTAATTGCTTTAACTCTTTGAACAGTTCAATCCAATTTTGGCAAGTCTTAGCCGGTAATGCTTGGTCCCATTCGTACCCGCTCTCCCATAACTGTTGCATCCCTATTTTAGCATGGATTAGGAACGCGGCTGCGAATCCAATGGGGTCGTATATTCTGGCAATTTGACTCAAGATTTTACGCTTTGTCAAACGTGGTTGGTTGTCACGAGAAGTGTCTTCCGAATTTGTCACTTGTAAGAGGTCGGCTTTAACCTTAAAGGAAAACGTGTCCGTATCCAAAACCTTTTCTTCGACATCACCTTGGAACATTTTCATCTTTGTCTCGCCCTCGGTTTCTCTTTCATTCAACGTTTTGTTGGAGGTCCATCCTTTGACTTTGAAACCACCAGTTGCCAAAACCGTGTCAATATCGTTCGTCTGTTGTCTTGCTTCCTCCACTGTGCCTACTGAGTCGCAGATATCGTCCATATAAGAATTTTCTTTGATGACTTTGGCAGTTTGAGGGTAATCAACTTGCTTTTCTTCCACCGTTTTCTGCAGTGCAATCTGGGCCATCGCGGGCGCAGGCTTGTCACCGAACGTTAGCACCGTCTTTACGTATACATCTGGCTTTCTTTCCGTCTCCAAATTTCTCCAAACAAAGCGATGGACATGTTGGTCTTTCTCCGGGATCAACACACGGTGGTACATCTTCGAAATGTCACCACTTGTTGCAACTTCTTTCTCTCTGAATCGCAACACGACGCCGAACAAACTGTTCAGTAAATCAGGGCCCTTTTTCCAGTAGTCGTTTAGTCTGCTGCCTTGAAACACAGAAGAGGAATTAAAGACAATCCGTACCGGGGTGCTCTTTTTCTCCGGCCGCAGCACAGCATGATGGGATGTATAATGAACAGGGCCATCATAACTACCGATCTCGTCCTTCGACAGCTTTCGCGCGAATCCCATTTCTTCCATCTCCACCATTTGTTTGTCGTACGCTAACGCTTGGGATGGGTTTTTTAGGAGGCGACGTTCGCTTGATTCGAGTCGTTTTACCGCTTGGTCTCTATTATCAGGTAGTAGTTTCGGATCTTTCTTCCATGGATAATGGATCATCCATTGCTCACCCACTTTCTCAGCTGACTGCTCGATAATAATTTTCTCTTCTCTTTCGACTTGACTCAGCTTGTCAGCTTCACAGATACAAGGTTTCACTTCAACGCCCATGCTCTCAGTTGTCCAAAATTCAGCTAAGTCGACTGGTGTTTCATATCTTACAAGAAGAACTCTGGTTGTCTCAGCGCTACCGCATCCTGGGGTTGAACCAAACAATACCCATCCTAACGGTGACTTTCTGGCAACGATTTGGTTCCCTTGCTTCATTTCTCCAGTGTGCAGGTGTGCATGATCTATGCCAATCAACAGATCAAAAGGTCCTTTTCAGCGTCTGACCTTTTCGTTGGTAAGTCCAAGATGCTCCGTGATAATAGTTGTATTGATGCTTGCAATTTCATCACTTATACATGGGATTCCAATTGCTTTCACAGAATATTTTCTTGAGTTGTCTGATGCGCTGACTGGGACTCTGTACGCTTTTGTCTTCATTTGTTCCTCTTTTCCACCGACTTTCGTTATAGTGACTGAAATGTTCTTTCCAATGAGCCCTAGGCATTCTGCGGTGTCTTGACGGATTAAGCTGATTTGTGCTCCTGAATCAAAAAGCACATTACCCCGTTTCTGAATACCGTTAGGGCCAAATATGTTTGCCGCAATAACTGGAAGCATCGATTCTTGACTATTTGCCAATGATGCAACACCGACGTTGATACCGTTGTTTTTGTGTAGCAGGGGATGATGGAATAAGGTACATTGACTTCCGTTTTCTGATTTGGTGTATGGACGTCTTCTTTTACAGTTGGCTAACTTGTGTTCTCGTCCAGCCTTCTTCAAGCAGCTAAAACAGAGATGGTTAGCTTTGGCTGCTTTCACTCGTTCATCACAGTTCAGAGCTGCAAGCTTCTGGCATTGGTCTGGCCAGTGGGATGAATCGCGGCATAACCAACATTTGTGCCACTCTTTCTTGTCATCATCACCACCACCACTTACATGGTTCACACTTCGACGACTTGTCACACCGGTTCTCACTGGGGCTGTTGCTCTTATACGTGACTTCATTTCCAGAGTCATCCAACTCATTAGACCATGAAGCGTCGCTGGTTTTCCTTCTCTTTCCAGGTCCCTGGACCACACCTTTCTGTCGTCTGCGCACATCTTTTTCTCAATAATAGACAGCATGTAATAGACAGCAATAGACTATTATCCATGTCACTTGGAATACCGACTTCTTTTAACGTGTTATAGCAGCGTTTGACCAGGTGCACCAGATCACAAAAACGCGCGTCTTCGCCCTCTTGTAGAGCTTTGAATTGTACAATATCCTGAGTTATAGTATCTGATACATATCGCGGATCACCATATATGGAGTCTAAGTACTCCCATGCTGCGTCATAGTCGGATCCAATCCCTTTAATGAGCTCTAAGGGTTTTTCTTTCAAGCAAGTGCGCAGTAAAGTTACCGAGTCTCGTTTGCTATATCTAGACTCAATCGCGTGTTTAAAGTCCGCTTTAAAAATCGCGTATTCCCGCACGTCTCCAGCAAACTTAGGCAATTTTGGTTTTTCCATTTGAAACCCACAAGTATTCTTGTTGTAAACAGTTCCTATATCGTGATTTGTTGTGTTCTGACTTGGAGGGTTTACTTGATTATCTACAGGCGCGCTCTCTTGACTAGGAACAGTGTTTTCAGTATTGTCAATAGTGTTACCGCTCTCGTCATTCACACTTTCAGAACTGTCAACGCTCGCTAAATTTTGGCTCGTATTACCTAACTCATCTTCGCTCAGTGTTCCAGACATTCCGATCATTCCTGAAGCTTGTAACACATTTGCCTCGCTTTGATTGCTTAAGTCTTCTACTAGTGAATCTACGCTTTCGATATACGTTTTTGCGTTTACGTCTACCTTCAAATAATATTGCTGACACTCGTCAAGCCATGTCTCTTCCCTTTCAAATTCAGCGTCATCTGTTATTAGGCTCGTATATGCCTCATGTTTCAACACTAAGCCATCAAACGCAGTCGTGAGTTTTAACAAAGCATCTCTTACCTCATTCGTCGGTCGTTTGTTCAAAACTAGGTGTTTTCCTTGCCGAGTAAGTCCCGCTTTCGCCGTGCGTCTGTGAATCTTTGCGGTCCTGGTGTCCTCTTCGGTCATTGTTTATCACACTCACGAGCCACGGTTACAATTAGAAATCGAATATTATGGTTTGCGATGTCGATAAACCATAGATACAGAGACCGAATATTGTAATCGTATTATATTTGAAAACAATCAAACAAGCAATTCGATCTAAAGTTAATAAACAAAATAAAGCTATGTAATATACTATATAAAGATCAATATACCATGCACATAATAATACCTAATTTACACATACTACGTTTAACAGTAACAAAATAAACATTAACTTACTTCTGTGACAATATCTAGTCTTTCAATACATAAATGTTAGTAAACTTATTTACCCAAGGTTAGCAATCGTTAAACAGTCCTTTCTCAGTAAGCGCTCTCTTCCTCTGGTTTGCATGCGGTCCTAACACCTAATCATAGTAATTACTTAAAATGTCAATCAAACTTATCAGTCCTTATTGGCTGTATCTTATTAATTAATAACTAAACTAAACGTGCATATAAACATCGTATATAACGAAACGCTAGGTGACTCTCGACTGTAGATCCATCCGTGTAATCCCAAAGTGATGCTGTAACAGACGCCATTTTACTTTGTATATAAAACCAAATAAACACTTCGACTTCGTATCAAAATTTAACAGATATCCCACCGCTGCCACCAGTGTTATAAAGAGTTATGTATAAAGAGTATATTTAATGTGATCTTTTCAAAAGATTAATGCCTTACATGTCTATATTCTACATTTCTACGTTCGCTCTGTTCCATAGAAATAATAGACATAGAATGCGCACTTATCACGAATACGTGTCCCATATTTTTTTCATGCTGTGCCCTTATAAATGCGCCATTTTGAATCTCGCGAGGAGTGAGAAATCTTTCAAAAAAACGTTTAATTCAAAACTCAAATTTTGGGTAAAGGCATATTTTACAGTCGATTATTAGCACGCGAAGGCAAAAAATGCCAAACCCAGTTCGGCATTAAGTTGCAGAACAGAAAAAACCCCCCAGAAAAATCATAGGAAAAACAGAAAAAGCGACAAGCGATAATCGACAATCGAGAAAGAGTCGATTTTCACCGATGTCTAACACTTTGTTTTCCTTTGTTTATAATGTCCTTCGTGTTCTTTCCGAAATTAAATAATCGAAGAGTCAGATACTTGTCAGCCACAAATTTGATAAATTGTGTGCTGTAGTCGTCTTCTAGTAAAAGTTCGTTGAATCCCTTTTCCTGGTCGCTGAATAGTTTTTTCGTTGTATCGAGGGAAAAATATCGACACACTTGTAAGATCATTGTTTTTCAGTAAGGTTTGAATCGTTGCTAATATTCAGTTTTAACAATAACAGACTGTTTTTGTTAAAACTGAGAAATTTAATATTTGTTATGGCTTAGAAGTTGGTAATTTTATTTGCTTTCAGAATACTCCTGTTTTAGTTATTTTATGTATAATTTTAGCTGTTAAGTGAGAAAAAGCAACGTAGATGACATGCAGGCATTACCGAGGGAATGTTGAGGAAAAGACGGTCAAAAAATCTGCCCGTAATCCCTCACAAGTTGCAACCATTTTAGTTAAAGAGTACTAACTTAAAGACATGGTGACTCTAACAAATATTGTCGTTATTGTTGTAAATTATCCGTTTTATTATATTAAGTAAACAAATATTGCTATTTAAAAGCTGTTTTCTAGCTTCGCACCTTGGCCACCGTGTGTTTACTTTGCGAAGAAGTACTAGGTTCTAACCGGAAATTAATTGCCTTCAAACTTCCGGCAGCAGCTAGTCTTCCATCTTATATATCAATGGCCGCCATTCACTTCAAAAAGGTCTATTCAAAATGGCGAAAAGTTCAAAGCAGTTCTTTCGGGAAGAACAAGAGTTGCATGAGAGTTGACAAGCGAGAGTTTACATGAGAGTTTCATCAACTATATATCATTGCTTGATCAAACGAGAACAAGAGTTGCATGAGAGTTGACAAGCGAGAGTTTGTAACTCCCGGTCGCAGAGTACAAGAGTCACAGGTTAGATGCAGATACAAGTGAGATAGAATATTCGAACTCAACAACGATGTGGTGCTTCTTCGGGAGGATGATTGGGTGCTTAGCCTCGTCATCTATATTGGTGCCTGTTGTAATCTTCCGCCCACGCAGAGAAGGCCATTAACTAGGATAGGATCCAGCTTATATACGGAACTGCTCTTCTTTATCGATTTGGATCTTCCATGAGAATTTGGCTGCTCCGTATAGATTGCACTCGTCAGCTCATCGTGGTAAGCTTCTCTCTGGACCAATCGTAGGATTTCTCTCTCGGCTTCGTTGATTTCGTACACGCTCATCGGTCGTATAGTTTTGACAACAGTCCGGTTGATTTCGGGCAGGAGATCATCCATTGGCTTGTCTTTAGTACGTTCTCGTAAGATGGATTTATAGCGTAGTGCCCATGCAACTACCCTTTTTAGCTTGTTCCATGATGAAACTCGCTCAAATTTTTTTGATATCCAGTTTTCCGAAGTCGCAGTAGTCGCGTAAACCTTTGTACTCTCTTTTATTTCTGGATCATCGCTGGGAACACCTCCTATGTCTGCAGGTCTTTGAGGCCAGCGATCCATTGGTTGAGACAGAAATTCTGGACCATGTATCCAACGTTGCATTTCAACGGCTGGTACTCCACGAGATGCTTCGTCTGCTGGGTTCAGGGCCGTAGCTAGAAGCTTAATTGGGGGGGGGGGTGCATATTCATATATTCGTCTTATGCCCGAATGATTTCTTTTGTATGCTATTCTTCCTATGGTATATAAACATGAATATATGAATATACACACACCCCCCCAATTAAGTGGTCTAGCAACGGCCCTGGCTGGGTTTAGCTGTGTAGCTACGTGATTCTACTGGGATGGCGAAGATGAATCTCAATTTGCTGCCGCACGATTAACAACAAAGGTTTGAAAACGTTTGCTATTGTTCTTTATGTACCGCAGGACACACGTGCTGTCAGTCCAGAAAAATGACTCATCCACCGGTAAACTTAATTCTTGTCTTGTTATCTTGTCCAATCTTGTGGCTAGAACAGCAGCTGATAGTTCCATTCTTGGAACTGTTATGGACTTGAGAGGAGCCAATCTAGACTTTCCCATAACAAATGAACAACTCACGTTGCCTTGGTTTTCTGCTAACCTGAGATATGTCACAGCGCCATATCTCACTTGCGAGGCGTCAGAGAAATTGTGAACCTGGCAGGATGTAATGTCACCAAAGTTGGCCGGTTTCAGACATCTGTTGATAACAACGTTCTCGAGCTTCGGCAGGTCGTCAAGCCACGTCTTCCATCGTTTTTGGTCTTTTTCGGAGATTACGTCATCCCAATCCAGCTTCTTGCGGCACAAGTCCTGCAGGAACAATTTGGCTTGGAAGATGAACGGGGCAACAAATCCCAACGGATCGTAGATCGAAGATACAATCGACAGTATTCCCCTTCTCGTCTGTGGTCTTTCTTTCAGGATTATCTTGAATCCAAATTGATCGGAGACGACATTCCACTGGAGGCCAAGAGCTCTTTCTATTTTTGCCTTCTCGAAGTCCAACTCCTTTACCGATGGGGCTCTCTCAGATTCGGGTAAGGACTTCATCACCTCCCTCGAATTCGACATCCATTTGGTCAATCGAAAACCTCCTTTCGCGAGAAGTTGTTGAAGTTGGCTTGCAAGTCGAATTGCTTCAGCGTCGGTCGCAGTCGATTTAAGACAATCATCGACATAAAAATTCTTGTTGACAGTCTCTATTGCGACAGGATCGAACTCTCCCTTGTTGTCTTCAGCAGTCTTACGCAACGCGAAATTGGCGCAACTGGGTGAAGACGCCCCACTGAACAGATGCACTCTCATTTGAAATTCTTCAGGGGGTTGACTGAGATTTCCATTTGGCCACCAAAGAAAACGTAGCGCATCGCAGTCACTTGGTCGAACTAGAACTTGGTGGAACATTGCTTCAACATCGGATGTAAGGGCGACCCTTTCTTCGCGAAAACGAGTGAGAACTCCCACGAGCGAATTTGTCAAGTCCGGCCCCTGTAGAAGCTGGTCATTCAAGGATGTCCCCCGATATTTGGCTGAACAGTCGAACACCACTCTGGTCTTGTCGGATTTCTTAGGGTGGAAAACGGGATGGTGCGGAAGGTACCAATACGTATTGAGAGGCCCTGTCTTGTTATCTTGCACACCTTGGGCATAACCTTTGCTGAGGAGATCTTCTATGAATGCTGCGTACTTCGACAACAGTGTTGGATCACGTTGCAGTCACTTTTTAAGCAGACTCAAACGGTGTTCAGCGACGGGTTTATTGTTCTCTAAACAAGGCGAATAGTTCTTCTACGGAAGCGCTATTTCATAGTGATCGTTCTTGAGCTTAACGCTGGCTTCCATTATTCTCATTGCCTTTCGATCGTTTTGGGACAGGGATGTTTTGGGATCATACACCAAATCATTGAATTCCATGTTACAAAACTTCTCAAACTGCTTGTTCAAGCTCCAATGTCGGGTTTGCATCAGCGAAATTTGACGTGGGTGGCTGATTTACTCTTCTGCCCAATGGTCCGTTTAGAACCCATCCAAAGATAGCACGTGTAGCAAATGGACCACCGTTGTTGCCTTTTCTCACCTCTAGGGGCTGCAAGACTTCAGGCACGTCGCTTCCAATCAACAATCCAACCTCCGCGTCGATCTCTTGAATTTCGATCCCAGTTAGATGCGGCCAACGTTTAACGTCGCCTTGATTAGCCATGCAGTTTTTCGATACAGGCAGACGCGGCCTCGAGAAAACGTTCGATAGCTCAACAAAGTTCCTTTCATCGAGATCAAAAACCTTTAAAATCACGGACGAACATTGGACTGCCTTACTTACGCTTTCCATCGTTGTCAGAGACAGGGCCGTGGCTTTACCGTCGATTTCGAGTTGCTCCAATAGCCTCTCGGTACAAAATGATGTGTTGGAGCCATTGTCCAAAAACACGTACGTCTCAATCGTCTTGTTTGTGCCTTTGGCTTTTACTTTAACAGGAACGACTGCTAGACCAGTGGTAGACAAACCTTTAATAACAGGTCGACTTTCGCTTTTGATTTTAACATAGCCATTAATTAGCTCCTTGTTGACAACTTCTTTCTTTCCCGCCTCTAGTTTTGGCGGGGAATCGGAAGTATCCTCTGGCTTGTCCTTCTTCGGCTCCAAGGCTTCCCTCGTCCGCTTCGGGTGCAAGAATGTTGAATGCTTCTCCTTGCAGTCACTCACACGACAGAAGCTTCCCTTTGGGCAATCTTTAACAAAATGTCCGCTGACTAAGCAATTGTTGCAGAGGTTCTTTCTGCGAACTAGTTTATGCCGATCTTCCACAGTCAACTTCTTAAAGGCTTGGCATTGCGATAACCAGTGGTTCGATTCGCAAGAAGGACACTTTAAACCTTGCTTCTAACTAAGGTCCATCTCTGTTGTTGCGTTGGAAACTATCTGTCGCATAGCTCCTTACTTTGTGTTGCGGTCTTTGGTTGTTCACATTCCCTGGATTCTTGCCATCGTTGTGTATTTTTCCGAAGATAGGATAGTTCGCTAATCTAGCTCTTGCGATAACAAAGTCCGTTACATCTTTGACGGTAAGTTCCCGATCTTCTTTTTGAATGATGACGTCAACTAACTCTCGCCACTTTACCCTGAGGCTCACGGGCAGGCGATCCACGATTTTTTTCAAGGTGTCTGGATTTTGAAGCTTGCTCACATAACCGATTTCTGTGAGAGTATTACTACAGCTGGTCAACTGCACGGACAGTTTCTGGAGACCCGCGCCGTCATCAGCTTTGATCGTGGGCCCATTTGCGATCTTATCAACCAAGGCACAGGCGATCTTATAGGGTTGACCAAACCGTTCCGACAACAGTTTTCTGGCTTCACGATATCCTTCGCCGTTTTTCTTCGGGAGACAGCTGCGCATTAATTCTTGAACCTGTCCGGTTGTATACTGTACCAAATAATACAATCTAGAACTGGGACTACTAGTTTTCATCTCGATTAAGTTCTCAAACGATCGTATGAGGTCGCAGTACTTGGTAGGATCACCGTCGAAAAGGGGAAGATCAGGATGAGGAAGGGTCAGGGCATTCATGCTGGCTTGTTGCTGCTGGAGGAGTTGATTGAACATGTGACTCTGACGGTCTTGAGACTCAAGC